ATTAAGATCTATATTATATATATATATACTAATATATATAGGCACATACAGATTAAGTTAATGCTTTTTTTTTATTAATAATTGTTAAAAAAATCTGTTTTGGTAAACTTCATAAAATCACTTTTTTTAGTTTTATATATGTACAAGTTCATACGTTTATTTTTGTGCTGCAAACTTTTCAACATAACCCTGGATATTGATTTTTCCAAGAGTTTATTTTTCAACCGATTCCAAAAACAAAGACTCGAGTCTTTTGAAAAATATGTTTTATGTTTATCATTTCGTGATGAACCTACACGTGTCACACTCTTTACAAATATATTTTTTGCTCATTTTAATCCTTCCGCATATATTGTGTACTTTAGTTAGGTACTAGAACTTTTCAGACACTAAAATTTAAAAATCAAAAATGTTAGGCTCTGGAAGTTTATTTAGATAGATAAGAATATATTTTTTACAATTACGGTATCCATTTTCAATTGGGTGGTTTTCACAATATTAATTTGATAATAATAAAAGTATTACAGTGTAGCCGTTTATGAAAATAAGAAATAACATTATTTCATAACACCTATTATATTATCAGCTTAAGATTTTATTTTAATATAAATGTATTTCTTTAAAATATATATTGGAGGGGAGAGCACCCCTTCTCCCCCCATGGCTACACAACTGGTTCTAATCTAATAGTTAACTATTACATATTACTTCTGTTATTTTGTTACTACTAAGTCTTATTTTATTACTGTGTCACCATGTACATAGACGGATAGTATGCTTTTGTTTGGTTATCAATAAAAATTGTTCTCTCTTTACAGTCTTAAGATTTGTACATATAGATTGTCACAAAATATTTTTCTTTGAAAATAAAATAAGTTATCAACTTTATCCTGAATACAAAACTACCAAATTGATTATTTTGCTTGAAAATTTATATTAATATTATACACTTGTAGTATTTTTTTTTAAAAACTATATTTTACAAACATTTTTTTCTAAGCTTCAATAACTCGTTGAAACGTATATAAAATCCACATTTACTATTTACAGGTGTTCTACAAAAATTTGTTTTTTAAAAAAATTTTGTTGTTTGTAGGTTTCCTAATACCTATATCTACCCTAAGACTCTTATTCGAGCGTTTGTGCCAATGCGTCCTAATTCCAGAAATAATCAACTTTGAAATTTACATATCACACATAATTTCATATATATGTGATACATTTAAATATTTGCAAAAATGTCTACATGCAAACGAATTAAATTAGAATGTATGGAATGTGTCAACAAACTTTAAGTGTTGTCTCACTTCAATTCAACCATTGTGCATTACTTTATCGATTCAAATAAATTCATTATTGAAAACTGAAGATGTAAAATACGCTTTTTTTTTATTTCCTCCAAGTTCGGATATGTCAAAAGTAACCGATTTCTATACTTAAAATAAAAATGTTAAGAGGGCGTTGAACCGTTGATTTTCAGTAGAAAATTTTTTTTTTTTAATTTTATATCGGGTGCTTTTACTTTAAAACCAAAATTAAGCGAGTTATTTTCAGTCTGCTTAAACATGTAGAGATGAAAAAACATTTTTAAATCGCTTTCAAGGATGCTGTGGTAGTCCAAAAAATAAATTAACTACCAAAATAGAGTCCTAGTTATTGAACTAATAATTACATAACACAGTTAAACCTTTAAATCAAAGTTTTGTAAAAAATTGCCTAAAACAAAGTAGAACAATGTATCACAGTAAAATATTCAAAATACCAAAAAAAGAAAAAACGTGAAAATACGAAGCTTAAATATCACAGCTCCCAATTATATTATAAAAATAATTATAATGTGTTGTAAATTATTGGATATCGATAAAAGTGTATATATATATATATATAAAATTATTAAAACATCGAGATACTACCGTGCCAGAAATAAAATAAGTCAAACATTTAAATACAAAAACAACTGCAAAATTAAACACCTCGTTTTCGATAAAAAAAAAATAATAGAACCATACAATTTGTAAAATACGAAGATTCTTATAATATTCAATGTTTGTGAGACCTATAGGAATATTCACCATTTGTGTACACTACATCAGTCGCTGTGAAAAGGAGCTTGGTTTTGATAAAAAAGTTAATATTGGATTCCAATTTACACAATAAATGATTTTAGAAAACTTCCTTGTAATAAGTTATAATTATAAAACGTTTTTGATTTAGGAAAACGCAACACATTAACTGTATGTAAATTTTAAAAAATAGGTACTCGCCAAAGTTAATATAACAATAACGTTCTACAATGCATTCAAAACAAAATTTTTTACAAAAAAAAAGCTCGAATTTTCATTTGTTTACACTGCCTCAATACTTAATTATATGAAAAAGTTTGTGATGTCCTTTTATTCTTTAAAAAACAAAAATCGTACAACGTTTTAATAGAAAAATTCTATTAAATTGATTTTTAATTGCTTAAATTATAAATAAAATTGACGTTAACATACAAATCAAGACTTAGGGATTAAATTCCTTATACATCAAATTATTGCATGTGAAATTCTGTTGACATTTTAATTTGTTTTATTGTGTACATTCGTTCGTTATCCAAATGTTTTAATTTAAATGTCACATAATTTATTCAGTTATAAGATTTAAACTGCATTTTCACGAATTTTGTAAAAATTCGGGTTTTCACATTTATTCTGCAGTAACGGGCAGACGTCAGTATCTACTTTTTTTGTTAATAAAATGTACAGTTGTAATTGTATGTATTGACCTGCGTATACTAGATATTAAAGTTTTTATTGTTTAAAATCAAGCACTTTTTTTATGAATTAATGCAAAACCTGAAAAAATACAAAACAAATGCATAATCATAATAAATACTGATTTTGAAATACAAGTGATTTTAAACTCTTCAATATTCTCGGTTCCAATATGATAATTTGATTAAAATGTGTACAACAAGTTACGGGAATAAAGATGGTACTTCGTAGGGATCGGGTTTTAACATAAATGTATGTATTTTGTTTACGAAGAAGGCTTTGTAAATAGTAAATTTACATTTAATTTTAAAACATTAAGTGTGTATGTTATGTAATAAAATACACACTTCTAATATGTTACACATAACATATTAGAATATGTATTGTTTTCTCTATAATGTAAACTTTATTTAGGTTTTTTTTGTCCTTAAGTGTTAAAATGTCTTTAATAGGCATTGTAGCCAATTGTAGAGTAATCGTTATGATTTTTTTTTTTTTTTTTAGAGCCAAAATTATGCGAATTATGTTCTTAAGTCGTTAAAAATTATAAGTATACGATCTTTAGAGATATTGTGATATATTTACATCACAACTGTCGTTGTAAAAAACAACATGTTAACATTGCTAACAGCATGTTTTCATAACAACCGCGCAATTTAAAACAATACAAATGGTGGGAAAATATTGTATTAAGTTTTAGAAAAAGTATTGTTAGCTTTTCTGGAAAAAAACATTCTATCTAAAAATACCTTTTAAGTAAAATACGTAAAATATTAATAATTAGACATATCAGGGTATTTGCTATAATTATTGAAACATCGAGATACTTCCGTGCCAGAAATAAATTAGGTCAAACATTTAAATACAAAAACAACTGAATTCACCGTTTGTTTACATTACAACAGTCTGTGTGGGAAACAGCTTGGGTTTGATAAACAATAATACAATATTGGATTACAATTTACTTTAAAAAGTAAAGTATTCGAATATTTTACAACAACTGTTGTAAGATAAACAAATGACAAATATCTGTTGTTATCAACTTTAATATTGCACTTTAGCAAAAACAAGTTGTTTTCGTATTTTGTTTTGTAGTTTGTATATTCAAATGTTTAAAGTGTTTTTCCTAAAACTACTGTAGCAATGTAAACAAATGGTAAACATCTATGAAAACAACTTATATATGAAAACAACTTGTTTTTGCTAAAGTGCAATAATAAGGTTGATAACAACAGATATTTGTCATTTGTTTTTATTGCAACAGTTGTTGTGAAATATTAGAATACTTTACTTTTAATTTTTTTTTCATGTAACCGTTAAACTGTTACCTTACACACTACTTCCTCCCGAAGGTTAGCGGTTACTTGAAAAAAAAAAAGGTGATCTATAGTTTGTACTAAAATTGAGTCTAATATATACCCTATCAAAGAAAACCGGATTTTTGGACTTAAACTTTAAATGTATAGTTAAAATCGAGTGTAAACTCCTATAGTTTCACACTAGATATCCCTTTTCTGAGGCTATCAAACGAAAACCAAGAACAATATAAATTTTTAAATAATTCGAAGACATAAATTAATAATTATCATAAAACTATTTGCAAATAGAAATAACTCTCAACAAAATTAATAGTTTAGTGACGCTCAAGCGGTACCATAATTTTATGATTCCAGAATAGCATGTAATAATTAATTATTTAAAATATCTGCGTTTACTCCCTTACTAGTATCATACAGGTTCAAAGACAAATTTGGGTGGCCTGTGTATTTAAGTTAGATAAATTTGATACATTCACCCTAATATTGCCGTTAATGTACACTTTTTTTTTGAAGTAATGACTTGAGGAAATTTCACGCCGTTAGATTTATTATATTTTGTATAATATGGCTGTTAGCTGTGTAGTTTTAACACATTACCTTATACATAAATTATATACAAAAAAAATTACCTTCACGACTAGTCGTTAAACGTTTGGAATAAGTAACTTTATTAGTAATCAAATAAGGCTTAAAAGTTATTACGGACGGAATATGCGATTAATTGACACGCACAGATAAACACACCACTACATTAGTTTGTTTGAGTATGCATTTAGTGTAGGTAACTTGTAAAGAAAAGGAAGAGCTGATGAGGATTTGCAACAGATTTGATAAACATACACGGATTATGCTTGTAATATAGAAGTGTATATTTTTTGAAATATATATTTTATAATATGTGATATTAGTAATATGTGTATTTTCCTAATCTTCATCGACCTTTGGAACTGCTCATGGCCCAATTGTAATAACTAGTTTTAACCAGATTTAATCCAACATTATCTACTAGTTTATCAAAATCGTCCCATGTAACTTTCCCTGGTGCTAAATAAACATAAAAATATGGTAATGATTACCAAATAAATTTGTAATACTTTGTTGCATACAATTGCGCTTAAATTGTTTTATATTTTAAAATGTGTTACACAAATTTAAATGACTAGTCTTTCCAAAAAGACTATTAAAATGTAACTTGTTAAGATGTTATCCGAAAAGTTAAAACCGTATTAATACAATTAAATAAAAAACATTGTAAAAAAAAAAAAAATTTACTACATACGTGCTTCCAACGTTGTAATAGTGAACAAATTTTCTGAGGTAATATCTTGCGATTTTATTTCTTCTTCAGTCGGATTGTCACCCAATAGACCTAGCGAATTTACAATCATTTTCCACACTCCCTAAAATTATAAAATCATTTTTATTAGTGTATAAATAATATTTTTATTTAAATGAAATGTTTTAAGTTTCGTTCAGTTTAAATTGAAATTTAATAAAAATAATTTTTATTTTTTTCTTTAAAAATAATTTTATTTTTAAATTGATAATTTTTTAAATTCTAAAATGGAAACGACCACCAGATAATATACCAGTAATTATGCCACCGTTGAAAGTAATAAAAATTTACACTTTACTAATAGATAAAGTAAGGATAGTTCCTAAATTCGTTAATTTACCGTACACAACTGAATGTTCAAAAAAATTATAAAGAAATCGATTGTTCTAATTTCTAAGGAAATGTATGTATTTGTCATGGCAAACAAGTTATTGCATTAAACTCTCATGTAGGCAAGTAAAATATAATTAATAAATTAAATAAAAATTAATTACTATTTGATTTTTATCTAAATTATTTGATTTTTATTTTAATAAAAATAAATATAATAATAAATAATAGTCCGGTTAGTATCTTGTTACCTATACTATTACCTATGTAATATTACAAATAGAAAATTACACTCATAATAATTAATCAATACATTTATAATTTAATGGCCAATAAAACATGTACACCGTTTTGCATATTATATACTATTATTAATAAGAATATAATTAAATTTATATATCTTTGAAATTATATTTATAATTTATATTATATTTACTATGTTTTGGTTTAATCCAGACGAACTTCCCTTTTTTTTAACAATTTTCTTTCCCTTTTCATCAGATTTGTCTTCTTCCATTCCAGACGTTTTTTGTATTGCAAAGCAAACTGTTAAACATAAAACAAAAATAACTTTTGAATTCATTTCAATGTATAAAATATATATTATAGCTGTTGAGAGTGTTAAAAGTGCTTTCAAGTAGAACTCAGGATATAATGACGGTATCGAATTTTTTTACGGCATTACATAGTAGTCTAAACAAATATTTCCTACAAACATTTGTTTATTTATGCTATTGTTTTCTGTATTAATATTGAACTTCTAACATTATAAGAACATCTTTATTTTACTAAAAAAATAAATGTACAGTTTTTATCAAAAACCAGTGGTATTTTAACAACGACCATTGCAATGTAAACAAATAACAAATACCTGCAGTAGGTATCACATACTTCTAAGTTTTACCATTACGCCAGCTGTTATTTTGTACAAAATAAAATATGTACAGTTGTGTTATTGTGTTTTGTCGAAAACAACTTGTTCTTCACAACAACTACTGCAATGTAAACAGATAACTAATACCTGTTGGTATGACATATTTTTATGTTTTTTTACATACAGTTTTTTTTCGAAATGTATTTTGTTTTTATTAATGTTTAAACTATTTTCTTGCAAGTTCGACCTAAATATTACTGTTATACATACAAATTAAAGGGCATATTTTTATTTTGAACATTTTCATTAGATATTGGTCTATTATATTAAACATATTTTATAATTATTATTTATCATTATTCTTGAATTTGTATTTATTGTATTGTAATACTTTGAAAATGTTGGCTTCATGTAAAACAAGTAACGCCCTCGTTTTTCAAATAGCCACACATATTTTTGATTCCATAAATATGTAAATGGATTTTTCTTAAAAATGTTGGCATTTTAAAAACACATGTATCTTTTTGTTGTTTTACATATAAGTAATAGCATTATCTTCTGCATCATACTTGGATAAAACTGTGTCTACATAGTCTGAATACCACTTGCTCAATAATGTACATATATCGTATGTGATCGGTGTTTTTGTATTAGTCATAACTCAAAAGCAGTGTTGGGAATTATCTAGATAAATTATCTAGATAAAAAATTGTAATTAACATCTTATCTAGATAAAAAAAAGTAAATCATCTTATTATCTTATTTAGATAAACAAATCGGTTATCTGAGGTAATTAATCTAGATAGAAATTGTAACTATTTTTTAAGTTATTTATTCGTGGGTTTTACAAAAACAGGTTTCGGGATCCGACGAAACGCATAATGTAGTCCTAGCCTAAAAATATTAATATACCTAGGTCCTAATGAACAGTGATTAGTGATATAAGAATATATTATTAATACATTGGGGTTGGCTTGTTAGACAAGTCCAATATTCCATTGTAATCCAATGTATTTTAGTCGATTATACAAAACGTATTTTACCTATTTTTAATAGGTAGAAGTAGATAAGAGTTATATATGTATTATCGTATAATTTATTATTTATATTCGTAGTTCTCGACTACAGTGCTCAGTTTTTATTTAATGTTGATAATTTTTTCCCAGTACTCTCGAAATAATTACTAGTGCTATATAAAACGTGTTTATAAGAATTTTTACGATAATTATTTCAAGATTAACATTGACCAAAATCCCAACAAAAAAAATGGTCGAAAGTGCAGGTGTTTATTTGAGCAGAATGGTTATAAATTATATTTTACAAATATATATACATGTCAGGCGAGTCCTGTATCAATAACTACATATAGGGTAAAGAGTAAAGACTATAAAAGTAAAATAGTAAATAGTAATACAAGTCCAATAAACAATGAGCCGTTTCCAAAAAGTTATTTGTATTTTTAATCAAAATAAAATAACAAAACCTTGTAATAAACATTTTAAACATAATGTAGGCTCTCCGTAGTCCGTAGACCGTATGTGGCCAAAACGATAGTTAAGCCTCAAAAAAGAACAATATGTTTATAAATAGTTTCAACCGATAATGAAATGTCCCGTCATCGATTATTGAGTTTGATAAACTCGTATTTACTTTTTATACCTATTTATACTATTACTGTTGCCTACATAAAAGATGACATAAACAGAGTACATGAAAATAATAAATGACAAATGAACAGAGTAGCCATAAATCTCGAAATCTAATATAAGGAAAATTTGCTCTTTGACGTAACTGTCCATTTCTTAGTACCTACGTCTTATTGGTTATTAAATTATTCTGTAATCTGTGTAAATACTTTGTTTCACTCATACATTTTCGTATAACATTTTATGAAGGTTAAAATTTAATTTATCTATTTTTCATCTAGATAAAATTGTGTTTATCTTTATCTTTTAGCGAAATAAATGTTAAATGAATAATTTAATATCTTATCTAGATGATATATTACTCAATTATCCGTAATCTTATCTAGATAACTTTATAGGTATCTTTTCCCAACACTGCTCAAAAGTTGTATTATAAGATAAAAAAAAAATTCTCTGCTAAACGATGCCTATATGTATACTTTTATAAAAAATTATTTGTACTAATTTAACATTTTAAAATTTAGTTGAATTTTCTGTATTGTACATCAAATACAGTACTTTTTACAATAACCAGTGCAATGCAAACAAATGAAAATTATTTGAAAAAACCCTTAATTATACTTTTATTATTCCTTTTTATCAAAATTTGTATTCGCTGTAATGTATGTAACAAAGGGTACAATTATACAAAAAAAAATGTTTAAGCATTTACAAAAAAAAAAACAAAATACAAATCAATAAACACCTGGGATTTTTTTTGTGAATTTTGCTTGTATGCGCGTTATAGCACACTTAAACGTATATAATGTAATATAAAACTATACAATTTGTTATTGTAAATTATGACAGCTCTGAAGTTCTAAATATTGAAATTTTATGATGTTACCAAGTATTGCCATTCGCCTACAGGCTACATTAAGACATTAGACTAAAGATCTTAAGGTCTTATATTATATTAAACTTATAAAAAAAAATGTAGACAAATACTTTTTTCCTATTAAAAAAAACAAATACAAGTATTCATTCAGTTTTTCAATTATTGGAGTAGCTTCTCTTTTGTAATGAAAGACATGACTAAACGTGACGCAAATATATATGTATATATTTGCGTCACATATATATATATTTTTAAAATTTAGACTTACATCACTAAAAGTGATGTAAGTAAATATTTGTAAAACAATAATTTACGACCCAATTGTTGAATCAATTCTTAAAATTGTTTCGTCATTATGCTCATAAAACATTTATGGGGTCAGTAGCAACAATGTATTTATGAAATTAATTTACACTTTTATTTTATATAACATTATTTTTCGTTGAGCTTCTGACCCAAACTACCTATACAATAAAATTATTTTTTTTTTTAGTATTTTTCTATTTCAATAGTGTAGTAAAATGATAAGTATGCAAAACAGTTTTAATTTAAAAAGTACTATTAATTGAATATTTGGAGTATAATATCCTAAAATTGTAATAAAAAAATAAAATATTCAATAATTTTTTTAGTGTGACTTTGGAAATAATAAAAAAACGTATATTTTATAATTAAAACTACTAAATTACGTACATAATTGAGATAAAATCTTATAGATTATTTTATCAAACGATAAAGTAACTTCTTAGGATTCGAGCAAAACAGTCAGATTTCGAGAATATTGAATAGTTTTAGTTTTAGACAACAAATTGTGCAAATTAATGAAAAATGCCTAAAATTTATATTAAATCGCGTTTAGCGATCTGTTAAACTTTACCGAATGACCCCAAATTTTGATAAACTTATTTATTTACTATATAGATTAATTTTTAGGGGTGGGCGAAAAAAAAATAAAGTCTAACCATTTATAATTCATGTATTTTACTTGCTTTTTTGGATAAAATATGTTTATAAATTAATGTATTTTCCCCACCTAAGATACATAGCTACGTGCAAGCCAGGCAGGATCGAAAAAAGAGGGGTTGAAAAAAATTTAACTTCAAATATAAAGAGGTGGTATGGATCCCATAGCCCCCTGTTGTATCTACCCTGCACGCAGAGCCCGTGTCTCTTATCCTTTACATCTGGTTAAGTTTTAGTTTTAAATTTTAATTGGTAGTTTAGTAAATTAAAATCTGTGTTGTACAAAAATCAACGAGTAACGTAAGTTATATTAGTATTAGATATGTGATAATAATATTATTGTTATTTTAGCATAATTATTATAATGAAAACTTGTTTTTCAATCAAAAACATAATTCTACAATTTTTTTTGTAAAATGTGACCTAGTTTAAAATGTTAAATTTGAAAGATTGTAACAACTAACTTCCATGGGTGTTTACCATTTGTTTACATTGCTACAGTAGTTTTAGAAAAACACTTTAAACATTTGAATATACAAACTACAAAACAAAATACGAAAACAACTTGTTTTTGCTAAAGTGCAATATTAAAGTTGATAACAACAGATATTTGTCATTTGTTTATCTTACAACAGTTGTTGTAAAATATTCGAATACTTTACTTTTTGATTTAACTTTAATAAGCTCTCTTTGTGTAGCTATATCTATTCAGAGTAGAAACAATATTAATATGTTATAATATTATAGCTATTTTAAAATAACTTGATTTTCATAATTTGTACATATTTCCCATACCAAAAGAATACTAATAATTGTCTAATTGATTGTCAGACACTTGATATGAAGAGCTACAGTAAATATAACTGGAGCTGTGATATTTTAGCTTTATTGTTTTGTATTTTGGATTTCAATATAAAATATGATATTTAAACATTTATCTAATGCAGTGCATTAGTGTAGGAGCATATTGGGTTAGGGGTGCCTGATGGTCACAGATCTTCAAGGATTAAAAGATAAAATCACTTTTAAAAGCGGACGCTTGTCCCCTTGTATCTTATCATTCGTATTAATATAGTTAACTTGCATATTGAATTTTAGTTAAAATATCGGTCTAGTACAAATATCAACGATACGTTTTAATAAAATACAGTATTTTTAATACTTTTAAAACCAACTTGTTCACGAAAATAAAACTTGTTGTGCAGTTATAATATGTTATGTTGTGAAGTCACGATAACTTTCTTTCCTGTCCACCAAATTATTCGTGCATCACCTCAATAGATCCGAAACCGTATGCAGATTGTACTTTGGGGTGTTAAAAGTAGAAAAAGTCAACTCCATCATTCTCAAAACTGGGAAAAACCATCGACTTAGATTTTCTATATATTCGCGAAAACAATAGGGCATAGTCGAAATTTTTATAGAACATTGGTTTTAGGATTTAAGAGTTGAAAATTAGTCAGAAGACATTTTTGTTTAAAATGAAAAAACCCCAAAGAGTAAATTAAACACTATATTAGTGTGGATTTTGTAGACCATTATGGGTTTAACAACTGAAAATTCAGTTTATGACCCATTATGACCTGTTATAAGATCCCAAAAAACGTAAACCAAAATAAAAAAATCCCCTCCCCCCAGCCACCGATGACCTTTTAACGAATATGAGTTTGACAAAACCAAGAAAACCTTGCTGTATTCATTATGATGTAAGCAGACTTCAACTAAGTCCTATTCTGTCTTCTTGAACTATAGCTAGGAACGTGTGATCTTAATTCTAAATCAGGGTATTGATTTGTTTTGTTTTAAAATTTCAATTATAATTTATGTATAAAAAGATTGTGTTTTGCTACGGTGACTTGTTTTGAATTTCCATAATGCTTGATAAGTAAACACAAGTTGAAAAATATAATTCGGTTTGATTCTCATACTTATGTTTACACAGTTTTAGACGCCTGCTTTCGAACGAGTTAACACACTAGTCTTTGAGACCTATATGTACTACTATTGCCTATAGCAAGAGCCGTTTAGTTGGTTGACAAACGAACTTTAGCACACAAAATTGGTAATTTAATTTTTTGAATGTATGTCTTTTGTGTTTTTATTTCTCTTCCAAATCGGATATTTTTATATCATATTCAGACACTTAAATGGTAACGTATGTATTCATTATGATGTCAACAGACTTCAACTAATTTCTATTCTGCTGCATTGGGTTCTCTTGGACTATAGCTAGGAACGTGTGATATTGATAGTATAATATGATAAGTGATGTACTGCATACAAGAGAAAACGACGTGCATTTGAACTAAGTTCCAACCATTTGATAACCGGAGCTGCAAGCCGTTCGTCTTGTTCCTTATCACGTCTGGTTTCAACCGAAGAATATTATGCTATTTTTGTCAAAAAAAGTACATTCAGTACAAAACTGAGAGGCGTAATGATTTTGATGTTTTTTTATATGTACTCGTTAATATGTATTTATATAATAATAATTTGTTTAAATAACAAAAAATCAACAAATTTTAAATAACCTTCGGTCATTCATTGGTGCGAATGCAGTGACGAAAGCCCCTCAGCGGCGAATAGTTGTGGTTCAAAACCGAAGGGCAAACATTTTTTTTTTGCATATTTTATTTTTATTTTTCTCAATTGTTTTTGAGAAATGTTAACGGGTACAAGAATTTGACGTACGAACCCATCAAAACTATAATAGTTGTTTTATTTATGTTGTATTAGAATTACAACAGGACAGGGGAATACAGAATATGAAAGGCTAGTTACAAAAGGGATAGGGATAGTTTTTCAGAAAAACAATGGGACACAAGGTAAAGGGATATGTGCAATTCATCGATGGAATAATTCTAGTCAAATTGGACACTAAACCAATAGATACTGTGATAATTGAAGTTCGCATTCCCATCGTAGGAAGACGATGAAGTAGAAAGAATTTATAAAGAACTAAATAAATGAATACAGACTGCCAAAGGAGTAGAAAATCTTTAAATCCTTGGAGACTTTAATGCCACCGTGGGGGAAGGGCGAGAAAAGAATATCGTTGGCAAGTATGGACTTGGAATTAAAAATAGTCAAAAGGTCAAATCTTAAAAGAATTTTGCCTACGAAATAGTCTAGTAATAACAAACACACAATTACAACATCATAAATGAAGACATGGCAAGCTCCCGGTGACATAAGAAGAGCACACATAGATTATATACTTGTAAGAGGGAAATACAAAAATCAATTCAAAGACAGTAAAAGCTCTCCTGGAACAGATATTAATAGTGGTCAGTGGCCATAACCGGGTCTCGATTCACTGCGAACTTAAGTTAAAGCAACTGCAAAATAAAAGAGATACATTCAACTAAAGAACCCAAAAGTGGAAGAAATCAAAAATGCAAAAAAAGAAAGAACACATAGAGTTATAATGGAGACCTGTGTTGTACAATGTGCATCAACCATGGAAGCCTTAACGAAGGAACCCAAACTCAAATAATACTAAATGGCGACCAACTCGAGCAAGTGAATGAATACAAATATCTAGGTACTATAATAACAAAGGATGGTCGTAGTATCAGGGATATAATAAGCAGCAGAATAAAACAACATATAGTTCACATAAAAAATAAAATTAAAATAGTTTTGTTATTATTTGAATGTCATACTTTAACACTTTTAAAGCTCTGACACACCACCAGACCTTAAGTTTACTAACTTAATGCTTCATGCCACGTGAACCTTTGGTGATTAAACTAATTTTAAACGTTCATTATTACCGGATAATGGCTTAGACGATGATTTCTGAGCAGATAAGGTTTCGAATGCGACCAATATCTAGACATATGATGGCACTTAATTTGTAACCGTCTAACTTTTAGATATTTCTTTTAAACTTAAAAAAAATGTACTGTGATCGTCAAGTAAGCAGCACCGTACACTCGCTTCTGTATTAGGTAGGTCGTTTCTGATCAGACAGATAGCTAGACTTACAGCTGAAATACATTTGTCAAGTACTTAGCTTAGAAAAATTGTTTTCTAATCTAGTTACTATGAATTATTCTGATCACTACATATAGTTAATATAAATTATTATGAAAACTTAAACAAAAATTACACATAAACACATTATAATTTTTTTTATTACATTTTTTAAAACAATATTTATTTACGCTTTACTTAACCAATATTTGTATTAGAATTTTTTTTTTTTTTATTTAAATGAATAACTAAAGTTTAAATTAAAAATTGATTAAAATAACTTTTTATTTGCTAGTAAAGTTGTCAGTCGTTCATTAGCTAAGACTGCTGGATTTTTCTGAATTTCAATGCCAATAAAGTAGTATAGATAGTTTGGCATCCTTACTTAGCGAAAGATCAATTAAGGCTAGAAAGTGTCCAGAATAGGTTTCTTTTATAAGTTGCTCTCCTACTCAAAATTGACCATCCCCAACATGACTACTCAACCATACTTAGTTCACACCCTCGTCGAATCGATGCCGATTTTCGTTTCTTTCAAGATTTACTTGACGGATCTATAGATGCCCCTGACCTCCTTTCCTCTATTCATTTCCGAATCCCTACCTATCCCTCAAGGCATTATACACTTTTCCATACCCCTAATCACTCCACCACTTATGGCCACAGCCATCCGTTGCACCGTATGCTTCGTACAGCCAACAACGCCATTAGTCCGTTTTAACTAGTATCTAAAAATCTAAATATTTACTTTCTATTATGTATATAACTCTATATTTTATTGTTTCTGTCTCTTTGTTAAAATTGTATATATGTACCAGTGTTCTTATTGTATCTTAATTTAACTTATTTTGCGCTGTTATCAATTAGTTTATGTAAGTTTCCAATATTGTATAACCATGTATGTAAATTGCCGCTAGACGTTAATAAATTAAATAAATAAATATATCTTATAAGTTCGATGAATAAATGATCATCTAAAACTACAACAACAAACAAAACATTTTTATTTAAAAATTATAAACTAATAGATAATATAAATTTGTAAACAGCAGTTGCACAGTTTTTTAAAATTAAATTATTTCAATACAATTTTTATTGTGGTTTTATAACATTTTTTTTTACTATCAATCCATTACGGATTGAGTAAAACGCATAATATGTAGATATTTTAATTTCGATCTGAGCTTAATTCTGATCTGAGCTTAGTTCGGATCTGAGTTATGTTAGTTTTCAAAGAAGATTTTTGAGTTTAAAATTTAACACCCTTTACCTTTGTAAAGATGTAGAAAGAGTTTGTTTTACATTTTATCATTTTAAAAGTTATTAATGTTTAAAATTTAGTTGGAGTGCAATAGAGTGATGCACTCAGATAAAAATGACCAAGCACTCTGCTCTTTCCCCAGTTCTAAGAATTAAATTATTTAGGTTTTTTTTTTTTAGAGAACTTTTTGTTAACGATAATTTAGAATATCAATATTCAAATTTGTATCTTTTTTATTTTCTTCCAGAGCTCTATAAATTTATAATTTGCCCGGCTTGCACGTAGCTTTATGTCTTAGGTGGTGAAATAACTTTAATTAATAAAGATATGCAAGTTGAATACAGAAGTTATTAATGATTAGACATTATTGCGTTTGCTATAATTATTGTAGCATCAAGGTTATGCCGTGTTAGGAATAAAGTTGTTCAACGATTTAAGTTAAGTTAGTTTCTTTAAAATGTAAGTTAAAAAAACTTTGTTACTTTGCAACAACAATAATCGTGATTATTACTATATTTCATAAAAGCAAACGTTTCGTTGATGCAAAGAATAAGTAAAATTGTATTATTAAAAATGCTTCATATCGAACCTGTATTGTAAAATATAAAATCACTGTTTAAATCATCACATAAGCAACAAAAGTGTTTATAATAGTGTTAATTAAGAAATACATCAAACGATTACAGCTTGAATATTAGCGAACAATACAAATATTATTAAATAGTATTAGAGTTGTAGAAAATAGTTTTACCAATGATTCCTGGTCTAAATTATAATAATATTTCTTCTTTCAGTGCTTGTAACTCTTGATTTATATTATAGGGGTTTACTAGCCACCATATGTATTTACCATTTATATTCTTCATTTTTCGGTAAACTTTTGTTGTGTATAATATATTTTTATTTGTCATGGTACAAGTTTTATTATCATAATCTTCCTCAACTCTTACAAATGTTGTTGGACATTGTGTACACCATAACAATGCTATCAATTGACACATCGACATTAATGGGACATCACGCATATATCTATCTAAAAAAATAAAAAAAATTTTTTTGTATAATTTGCTAAATTTACCTTACTAGTTACTACTTTTGTTTATGGTGCAAGGCAAAAATAATTGCCTTGCAAACAATTCATAAAATAATAACACAATATGTATGGTGTTCGTATTGTACGTACAGCAGTAACAAGTAGGGCTTAGCCTAGCCTAGGATTATATAAGGGTTATGCTAGGGTTTATACGACCAAAATTATTTTAAAATTAGTATTTATATATATATATTTAATATAGAATGATTTAAAACCGCGACAACACTTTATTAACACTTACCTGATGCACGGATAATTTTATTTCTTAAATCATATGTAGTTGTTCCAATTCTTCCATAGTCTATAAGTTTGGTCAAATGTTTAATATCTGCAAAAAATAATAAATAACCATATAAATAACAAGCAATAAATAAAGCAAAATATGAACTAGTTGATCGTGATATTTAGTTACATTGCATTTCAAAGAACTGTGATAATACTATTTTTTTTAATAGCCTGCCATTAGTATTGAAGCTCGAAGAAAGTATTCTTACTTAATTCGAATTACATAACAACAACACAACAGTTCAACACTACAATAAAAGCGTTGGGTGTAACAATCAGTTAATATTCAATGATTCTCTTTAACATGATGATAGTAAACAAAAAGAATTTACATTGTGAGTTGTATTTCGAATATAAGTAGCTAAAAATACTTATATTCGATATACTTATGCTTCTTATATTCTTTATAATATTTACAAGGCAGTGATCGTGGCACAATTATTTTTAGTTAATTCATAATTTCAACATGTAAATTATTGGGTCAAAAATGAAAACATTTCTCTACCCCTTACCAAAATAATATAAACAATTTCCTCTATAAGATGCAGAAATTTTAACTTTATTCCTTTTTCTTAGGAGAAGTTTTGGGGTTGAATAACCGAAAATTAGATAGTAGGAAGATTTAGAATGGGGCTAAAACATAAAATTTTCTGAAGAAAATGTGTAGTGAAAATTTTTTTTTATTAAGAAAAACACCAAAAAAGGGAACTTACTTTTGGCCGTAGTAAATTTTCAGGTAGATATGTGTGAGTGAATTAACTGGTATTTTAAAATAATGTCATTATATTTCTAATTCACAAATTATTTAGTTCAAACATATTTCTAATATTGACTAACTAATATGACAATCAATTATTATAGACAGACAATCAACCTTATTCGTATCTATTCTTATAAGTTTTCTATTTGGATAACTTGCGATTATAGAATTTCGTTTTAAATATTTTCGGAGCTCATTACAACACTATATAAATATTAACCTATTGCCTGTCTAATTATATTTCTTAAAGCTCTTCCAGTAAGATGTCTTCTCTGTTCTCCAAGTTGTTCCAAATTTAAGGCCGGAGAATCTGCAAAAATTATTAAACGATTATGCTGTTAAAAAAATAAATATAAAATATTATTTGATACACGATTGTATTATATTTTTGAAGAACTGTAATTTAACAAAAATGTTGCACCATCAGAAATTAATAGTAACCACGATAAGCGGTTAAATTGACTAACTGGTTGTATCTCCCTTTCTCACAGACTAAAAGTTTATCTTATTGAAATTATTGTATGAAACCTACTATGACCTAAAATATTTTAGAAGAATAAAGCAAATTTGAACTCTAAAACAATCCTTAAAGCTATTTACGACTTTCGATTTACCTTCGTGTGGAAATTCAAAAGCAACAATATCTATAACAATATATAAATCAAATATAAAATCATAATAGGTAAGTTACCAACACAAGCATACTAAAACTGATAGTAATTAGACCAATTAATATGCTCAATGCTAAACAAATATTAAATTGTTTCTAATAGCCATGTCTAAGCTAACGTTTTAAATTATATTTCAAATAACCATCAAAAGCTTAAGCAAACAACATAATAATATTATATTGTATCATTATGACTACTTGAATAGATTTTTGGCGTTTTTCATAAAGAGCGAATTTACTTAGTTCATCTTTTATTTCTTTTTCCATTGAGTTCTGGAGTTCTATAGATTCTAAAATAAAAAACATATTTGAATATAAATTTTTTATGATTGAAACTAATATTTAGTATACATAACAGTAATAATGAATATGCTTAAATTATTGTAAATGTGAATTATGAATGTATGGTTACGTTGTTTGTCCTGGTATTCATATTCTGAAATAATTAAAACAAATACATTGAGTGCTTCAAGAATATTAAACAATTATACAAAAATATTTTCATAATATCTAATAAAAATTATTACCCGGCACGGCGATCATATGAATCATCTTTTCTAAAATTAACGTTTTATAAATTAATGTCACTGGATTTGATTTTCTATTCTATTAAAAATGGAAGACAGAGTTTGAGGTAAAAAATGTGGCAATAAGAATAACATATAAAACAAAGATTCCTTTTAAATTGTTGATAAAAAATGTATTATTTATATTGCTGATAAATTTGCATTGATATGCATTTGTGTTATTCCAATTTAAATAATTTAAAAATATTCTTTTCTACTAGCAAGCATTATCTTGTTTTCTTTATTATTATTATATATATATATATATATATATTGAAGATACCTAATAGATATTTGTCTTTAAAAACGATTTTTTTAATTACATGCTCCAATCCATCTAGAATAAACAAATAAGCTTTTAACTATTATACAAGATTAAAAATTATGTATATATAATTATATATACAATTATATTATATATAAAATTAAATTATGCTTTAAGCAGTGCCTTAACGCTACTCTTTTTATTTAGTTAAATAATCACTACCTATTTCCAAGTATACACTATGTAAATTATACAAACTTTTAAACTTTTAATTTTTAGTTAAATAAATTATTTGACTTTCATAACTTTGCATTTACGCAGTAATCTATACACTGGAACTATAATTTTTAATTTTCAAATAACTTGACAATTATTAAGAAAACATAACAAAATAATCAAATATTGGTAAATTAATTAAAAATGTATCATACTTGCAATAAAGTTATCGTTTACAACACAAGTTTTCATATTAGAAGCATGCTTGATGAGTGCGTCTGTAATACATAATTTTAAAAATATGTCTATAAGAACAGTAAAATTTTAAAGCAATTTTTTGAAAATCAAAATGTTACTGACTTGTGATGACAACTTGCTTCACTGTAAAAAAAAGTTAAATTTTTTTTTTTTTACAGTATGTTATTGTTAAAATAAAATACTTACTCAATTCATCTGTCAAAGCATTTACATTGATAAATAATATAAAAAAACAAAGTCGTTTCATTTTTATCTGTAAATAATAATAAACATACAATTAATTTATATTAGTTTTAGACACCACCAGAGATGAGAAAAGTTTACAAGGCTGTTTTCAATAATTTTGTTTTCTAGACCACTAATTTTTTTTTTTATTACTTTTAAGGTAACTTGTGATTGTGAATAGATTACTCAGATGTTGAAATATTATTTAAATAGGTATGGCACTATTTTTCAAAAAAACATGTAATGTTAAAGGAACGACTCCCCGGTATTGGCGACCTGTATACTATGACCGAACATTGTATTGTCATCTGAGATCATTATATCATTATAGCAGTTATATCATTTGTTGTAAAATGGTTTGCAATAGTTCAATCGGTAAAGAAGAAAAAAATCGATATCGGCTCATGTCTACTTAAGTTATAACATAATTATAACTTTGGAGTTTGATAGTTATTACTTACTTAAATTGTTGGACCGCTGCAAATTTCTCAGAACACAATAGTAACTTATACAGTCATTTAAACTAACTGTTTGATACGGGTCTACTTGTGACTTGTAGATTGGTGTATAGTTTGACTGAAATAATAGAAACTCAGTTCGACTAAAATATTAGAAACTCGATAGGTGCTTACAGTGTACCCATTTTATTTACATAGCTGGTTAATTTTTGTTTTAATATGATTTATGTACATATACATTATTCCAAAGCCAGGTTTAGACTATGTTCTTCTTAGTTATCGGTTTAACAATCATTCGTACATCTAATTTTTACAGAATTGCAATTTAAATTACGCTGAAACATATCAAAACTGATAAAACATAAAAAATGTGATTTATTACAGTACAAAATAGCATTTTTTTGAAAATGTTATCAGGGTCTTATTAAAATGTTTTCACTTTTACAAATATTGAATTACAAATTGAGTTCAAATAAAAATATTTTTGATACGCTGAGTAATAAATTGTAGAAATCACAAATTGTTAAACTTTTCATTCTAATTTTCTTTCAAAGAATTTGAGAGTGAACCTCTTTGCACTCAAAGCTTCAAAAAAATGGTCACCCAAAATAGTCACCTTTTATAATCTAAACATCAGTTCCAGTTAATTATCATTATTTATAAGAATTGATTTATATGAAAGGTTGTATACTTCATGGTTAAATGTTATCAGACTAACTTCACTATTTTTTTTTTCAATACCTTTTAAAAAAGACTCAAATACATTTAAAAATATCTTCTTACATTAGGTGGATTGGCATGTATAATGCATGGATTATGGCGTAATAAGACATATTACAACATAAAAATGGAAATTAATTAGTTTTATATAATTACTTTACTAAACGATTTATTAGGTACCACTCAGAAAATATGCTTATTAGTATTTAACCAGTACATTTATGTATTTGACTATTTTACAACGACTGTTACAATGTAAGCAAATTTAAAATGCCTGTTGATATCACACATTTTCAACTTTATTATTGTTCTTCTAGCAAAAATAAGTTATTTTCATGGTTTTTTTTCTCGTTTGTTTATTTATTTATGTTTGAACCATTTTTCTGAAATTTACTTGGAAGAATATATTATTAAGTCTGCGCGTTTATGTATACAAAAACTAGAATATTTACAGGTATTGTACAAAAATGTGTTTTCAAAAACGCATTGTTTGTAGGTCGCCGAATAATTTGAAACGGTAAACCATACTATTTCCTGAGATGTTGGTGTTACAGTTTATATCATTTTACAAAACATGTGTTTGTTTTTCAAAACTACGGATATCCGTATTTGATTTTGTTGAAAAAACAGTCAATTAAAGAAAAAAAGTATTTTTAGTAGTAAAATTTTGCATGTAACAAAAAAAGTATTATTAGTTTAATGGTGATTTACCGTTAAATAGTAATTCCTTCTTAAGATACTCCAGATAACAAAAAAAAAATCATTTAGCTTATATTTAACATTTAACTAAAATAAAATATGTTGGCGTAACAGTATGCAGTTCGTGCTTGGGCCAAGTAAGATTATTTTTACAGGGCGAGTGCGACGGTTAGTAGCGTTTAGGTTTCTCGGACATGCGAAAAGAACCGAAGCGTAATTTTCTTTTAACTAAAAAAATTCTTTCAACTTTTATTGCAGATTATCGTTGGCTACGGTTAAAGAGTAAATTGAGTTTGCTCGTAGACGTCCGAACTTGTTCAAATCTCGTTACAAGCCTTTGTCGAATCTATTTACTACCACGCTCGGTTCGCAATAATATTAAAATACACTTTGATATCCGAAGGAAATCTTGTTAGGAGTAACGAACGTTCTTGTGGTGTATTTCTTTCTTTTTACTGTAATAAAAAATATGAAAATCCTTCAGGACTCGAGGGTTTCGAGCAGACCAAAGAACGGGAATTAGCTAGTAATTTTCATGACAAAAGTAATGTGATCGAGTACATTTTATGGTTATAGAAAACGGACTTTTAATGCGAATACAAGAACACTATTTTTTTTTTCTGTTGCAAAAAAATGTTTTTTATTTGTATAATTTTTTTTCACTTTTACAAGGTGCATCAGAAACAAATGTCACGCTTGTCAAATATGATTGATTTTTTAGTGAATACTGATTATGGGAAATTGTTCGAAATAGTATTGAATTCATTGTGTAAATTTTCACCAACTAAACTTAGTCATTGGCTATAAATAGCATCGCTTCTGCGCATGGAAGCTAAAATGATTGTGTGTGTGTGTGTGTATAAGTTCGTTATTCGCGGGGCACATTATCGAATAAATCATTTTTGAACCATTATTGCAATCATTTTATAAAGTTTCTATAAAATAGACTATATATAAATTATAATCTCCAATGCGGTATCGAGAACTACGCTCATAAAGTATTCTATCGTCACGGTTAATGTTTCCTTCGGGTTACTTAGAATGTTACCCGGCATACGCTGTTCGGCTTGCGGAACTTTAAAAAACGTACAAACACGAAATCGAGTTATAGGGATATGCGGGTCGGCCTTAAGAGTTTTTAGTGGGGAAAAAAAACAGCGGGAGAGGCAAGAGGCGTGGTCGGCTGTGGAAATTTATAACCGAAATTATTCGCCGTTTCCCCCGTTAAGAGAGCTCGCCAAACCTTTTACGTGTTCGGATTTGTATCCACCAGAGTTGCTGCTGCTAGATCTTGGACGACTTGGCATTAATCAATTGGGCCAATATCGACAGTTTCGCTTTTCCACGGCGTTCCCTCCCCTCCCCCGGGCACTTGCGTTGAGCACGTCTTGTCAGCTGCTGCCCCCTTTTCGAAATCGAAGGGGCGGCCGCGGTATTATTATTTCTGGGACGAGCGATCCAAATCAAACGTCTGCTGGCCGTATTTGAATAACAGTGGTATTATACGAAAGTTGACAAATGTAGGCAATCAGAAATCCGGCCTAGCCGAATCAGATGAAATCCGGTCGCGTGCAACACACCAGTATTTCAAACGGCCGACCATGACGAACGATGCGAAAAACCGTTTACATCTCCATCGCATGCCGTCGACCAAGTCGTTGGAGAACTACAAATAAAATCAATTTACAACTTATTAGTACAATACTGTCATTGGGATAAATTGATAACGGATTTTTTTCAAAAATAGTTAAATTTCTTATTAAACACAACGAGATATTGGGTGGTCCGCGATAAAATGATCACCCTGTATACTTTACTTGTCGTTCAAAAAGAACCTATTGCCTCTCTCCTCGAGTGTTGACCTATTGTCGGCAGTTTTCAAA